ATTTCATTATTACTAATATATAGTGTCCATAATTGCATGCTGCATGTCTTGTGAAATTTCTGCTCCTTATGTTCCATGGAACATAGCAAACAAGTGCATTTTGTGTATGTTGGTTAGTCTTTACATGAGAGATATCTGAAAACATGGTATCTTCACTAGCAATTGTTCTGTGAAAGTCTTATCACATATTTATTCTTATTTGATATGGGGAATAAATGTTTTTATTCTTTTTTGTAGACTTGTGTTATTTTATAAGCCTTTGATTGTGGTTCATTCATTTTGTAGCTGTTACTGGTAGAATTTTGTGAGTTGTCTATAAATTATCCTACGTATGAGGACTCATGGATATATGATTTATTCCTTTTAAATGATCCTACTTTGCAAAGAGGGGAGTAAGAGATGTTGGTGAGCATCTTCATTATTTGAAATGAACATGACATTTCAGTCAATGTTTTAGCTTTGTCCTGATTCCATGGCACTCTTTACAACTAAAATTTTGCCAGAATTTATATTCTGTTTGAAGCTAGGAGCCTTGAATTTCAAACCTCCACACCACAAGATTTTCTGTGGTCCTGTCCAAGAGACTTTACACATTCTCAAGCACTTTGGGCTCCAGCACCTATAAGAGTACAATTAAAGATTTTTAAAAGAAGGTTAGAAGTACTCATTTAGAACTGAGCACATAGAAAGAAGCTGAAGAATAATAACAGAGTCCCAGTGCTAGAATGGTTTTTCTGCTTTCTTCCACTCTTCCTCTTTCTTTCCTTCTTTCTTTCTTTCTTTCTTTCTTTCTTTCTTTCTTTCTTTCTTCCTTCCTTCCTTCCTTCCTTCCTTCCTTCCTTCCTTCCTTCCTTCTTTCTTTCTTTCTTTCTTTCTTTCTTTCTTTCTTTCTTTCTTCCTTCCTTCCTTCCTTCCTTCCTTTCCTCTTTGAATCATTATTAATTTTTGATTATCTAGTAATAGTGGTCATTAAATTATGAATGAACTATTTTTATGTAAAAATAGTTAATATAATTTTATTGAATATTACATTTAGCATCAATTTAAAATAAGCAGAAAAAATCTGATGCCAACAAATTCTGTTTCATTTATAAAGAGAACTACACATAAAATAATTATACATGCCAGTTTTCAATTGCTAATATACCAAATTACCATAAACTCTATGGTTAAAATGACACTATCCCACTATGTGACAGTTTTTAAGTCAAAACTCCAGCATGTAATTATTGGATTTTATTCTCAGGTCCAACAGTCAGCCTAAAATTCCCAACAGAGACGTAAGGGCTTTCCCAAACTTAATGACTATTTTCTGAATTTGTGCCCTTGTGATTGTAAACTTGAAGCCTGATTTTCTTTCTGTCTCTTAGGCAGGGATGACATTTATCTCTTAAAGATATCTTAGTCAAAGATACCTTACAAGATAATATTTGATTATTTCTTTTTTTGAGATAAGGAACAAACTATTTCTCTCTGAAATTTGTGCATGCAGAAAATCTCTTACCTGAACATGTTGTCTTTTCAAATAATCTCTATATGCTAAGATAAACCAATTTGAGACTTTAATGACATCTGTGTATTTCTTCTAGATAGATCAGAGCTGCAAAGAGCTGAAATCTTGAAGGAACATCTTTTAAAATTTTCCTATCAAAGTGTGAAGGTGCAAGTCAAAACTGGACAATAGCAAAACATACATTTTCTGTAATTAAAGAGTATAGAATGAAAAGGATCAATTAAAATTTCAGTATGTAGATTTTGCACCAAATTTTGGACAATTTCAAACATTAAAGATAAATAAATAGTGCATTTTACAAAAAAGAAATATTTGTAGGTCCATGAAAGAAATAACGTGCTCTTTTTGCATGTAAGTACAAGTTTAATGTCTCTGATAACTTGTTATATTTGAGCTAGAGCAGTTTTCTTAATTCTATTATAGGATTTTTTTTATTTTCTATAAGAAATTGGTTAGTTTAATTTAGTCTTGTACCTAAGTGATAAAATGAGTTTACATCACTTTCTTCTTGTCATAGCTATACTGCTTCCCCCCTTTTTTTTCTACAAACATATAACACTGTGTCCACATAAGTATGGGCCCATATGTATCCTTTTTCTCATGCATACACATACACTGGTCTCTCAGTTAGTTATACAGTGCTAGCAACACACAGAGCTGCAGAATCACACAGTGAACAGTTTTAATAAACTTTGTCTTTTTAATAAACATTTCATCTCTGCTCTGTTACAACATCCATGAACAGGTGATTGGTATAAACTAGAATTAAGAAGGTAGATTATGCATTTGTAAAGAAAAAGAAGGAAGACAGGCATCAATGGAATGTTTAGGAGGAACAATGTGAACAGACTATGAAATGATTCAAACTGGCAGTATCAAAGTCTGAAATATTTGAAACTTGAGTCATCCCCATTCAGCCATGCAGAATATATTAGCTATTGTTCACATCAGTAGAATTCTGGAAAACAATCTGCTTTCAAATCAAAGATGAACAAATGACAGTAGAAACAACCATCAATTAATTAAAGAAGGACAATTAGATTGACAAAACCTCTGTAGATTGTTTCACTCAAATAATTATGATGCTGAAAACTCAGACTAACATGTTCTGCATCTTTATGTAAATTAGTTAATAGACTAATTGTAAAATTCCATGCACTGGCACTAGTTGGAGAAGATTAGAGAGTACCCATTAGTAACAAATCTAAAATAACACTGTTAGAATTCTCTAAAGACAAAAATGATCTGAAGATATAAGTGACCAAAAGAAATGATTTGTATTAACTTTCTCTTTCTGTAATCTATGATATTAATTACATTTTTGAACCAGATATTATAATCACTACAGTATTCTGAGAGTCATAGGCTAGGCTCACAATTTAGGTTCCCCTGCCTCAACCTCCTAAATGCTATGATTACAGGCCTGCGCAATCATACATGACATACAAACTGTACTGGATGATAAAATAAAATTTAAGTTTGCATATATTATAGCTTCCTCAGAATTCTAACTAATGTAAAGGTAAAGCAAAGCTTAGAAAATTTTGTTGATATTGAAAAGAAATACAGGGTCCGGGGAAATGGCTCAGTGGAATAAGCGCTTCTCTGGCAAGCTCTAGGGCCTGAGTTCAATCCCCGGTTCTGAAAAAAAAAAAGAAAAGAAAAAGAAAAAAGAAAAGAAATACAGATATATAGATGGATAAGTAGATAGATAGAAAGAATGAGATAGATAGATAGATAGATAGATAGATAGATAGATAGATAGATAGATAGATGTAGCTCACTGGTAGAACACTTGCTTAACAGCATAAAGCCCTGGGTTCAGTTCACAGCTAGGGAGAGAAGAGATTTGTGATATATGCATCTGTATATGTATAGGTGTACATTGACAACAGTTCTATGTATGCTATCATTTTGAACATCTGTTCCAATAATTAATGACTTAATAGTTGTAATATATGTAGGACAATCTTTGAAGTGTTTCCATCTTTTTAAATGAGGGTTCATGTAGCTGTATAATATGGTTAAATTTTCAAAAATTATTGGTCATTTGAGAGGTAAATTACAACAGCATTGAAATTCCATCTCACCCCAGAAAGAATAGCTATCATCAAGAAGTCAATCAATACCAAGTTCTAGAGGGGCTGTAGAAGGAAAATCTATGTAGACTGGTGCCACCATTATGGAAATCAGTGTTTGACATTCCTCAAAAAGGTAGGATTATGGGTCACATTCAGACCAGCTATTTCCCTTTCAGGTATGTTCTCAGAAGAGTTAAAAACATTGTACCACACAATATGTGTACATTCATATTTACAACAGCAAAATTTGAAGTAACTAAACCTTGGAAACAACTCACATGTCCATCAGCTCAGGAATAGATTAAAAAGATTTTTTTTACACAATGGAGTACTACTCAGCCACAAAGAATGATAAACCAGATACTATTATAGGTAAATGGATACAACTTGAGACCATGATCATAAGTGATATAAATCAGACCCATATGTGTAAATATTATATTGTCTCACTAGTGTGAGAAACTGAATAAGTAATCTGAAATATAATACAGATATTGTAAATTATAAAGAAATTTAAAATAAAAAATACTATGACAGAAATGGGGAAAGGAGGCAGGAGGACGCGAGGGCGAGCGGGCGGTGCTGGCGCGTGGAGGCTGCGGCTCGCGGTGTGCAGCCGCTCTCGGCTGTCTCCGGGGCGTGCTACGTCTCCTTCCGGGACCTAAGCCGCCCGCTGCAGTGGGCAGACGAGTCCACTTCCCGCCTCAGCGCCCGGAGGACATGCTGGAGAAAGAATGAGCCAGAGGGACACTCTGGTGCATCTGTTTGCTGGGGGATGTGGCGGCACAGTGGGAGCTATTCTGACATGTCCACTGGAAGTTGTGAAAACACGGCTGCAGTCATCTTCTGTGACACTTTATATCTCTGAAGTTCAGCTGAACGCCATGGCTGGAGCCAGTGTTAACCGAGTAGTGTCTCCCGGACCCCTCCATTGTCTAAAGGTGATCTTGGAAAAAGAAGGGCTCCGTTCTTTGTTTAGAGGATTGGGCCCCAATATAGTGGGGGTGGCCCCTTCCAGAGCACTATACTTTGCTGCTTACTCCAATTGCAAGGAAAAGTTGAATGGTATATTTGATCCTGATTCTACCCAGGTTCACATGATTTCAGCTGCAATGGCAGGCATTTACTGTACATTTCTCCCGAGAAAAGAGTGAGATCGTGTCATCTCATGCTCCCCATCCGCAGGTCACTTCTTGTAGAAATATGGACTAACTTAAACCTCGTTTTACTGCAATCACTGCAACCAACCTCATTTGGCTTATAAAGACTCGGTTACAGCTTGATGCAAGGAACCGTGGGGAAAAGCAAATGGGTGCTTCTGAATGTGTCCGTAAAGTGTATCAGGCAGATGGACTTAAAGGATTTTACAGGGGCATGTCTGTGTCTTATGCTGGCATATCAGAGACTGTTATCCATTTTGTTATTTATGAAAGTATCAAGCAAAAATTGCTTGATTGTAAGACTGCGTCGGTGATGGAAAGTGCTGAAGAGTCTGTGAAAGAATCATCAGATTTTGTGGGAATGATGCTTGCTGCTGCCACCTCAAAAACTTGTGCTACAATTATAGCATATCCACATGAATTTGTAAGAACAAGATTACGTGAAGAAGGAACAAAATATAGATCGTTTTTTCAGACACTGTCTTTGGTGGTTCAAGAAGAAGGTTATGGGTCACTCTACCGTGGTCTAACAACTCATTTGGTGAGACAGATTCCAAACACAGCTATTGTGATGGTCACCTATGAATTGGTGGTCTACCTACTCAGTGGATAGCAGCACTGGCTCCCGTGCTACAGAGGAGGGAAGACCAAAAGATTACAGTGGATCATGGAATGTTGGAGCCAGCATAGTGGGCAGAAGGAATAGTAGTTTTGGAACATGTACCATAACTGCCTGAAACGAAGTTCAGTTAAGATAGCCACACCATATTACTTAGTCTTTCTGTAATGTGGCAAAACCTCAGCTACCTCTAAAGTTGCCTTTGGAAGCACGCCTCTGTTAAAGTTGCCATTTTCTGTATGTGTCCACCAGATACAATTGTGTCTATTGATCTATGACATTGAGATACAGTGTTTATTCCATGAGCATTTTTCCAGTCTCCTAAACAAAGCCATCCTTAAACATATACTGTAGCCATCCAAATGTAGTATTGACATAAATATATAACTTCTTTCAATTCCTATAATATTGTAAGATAATATTAATTGGTAGATCCTCAGTATTCCCATTTTGCTGAGATGACTTGGCGCTAATTTAATTCATTTATTTGGCACCAATAATCACTATTTTTGACAACCAAGGAACTATAATCTAAATATTACATGTATTAAAATGTTTGAGCCTCTTCAGCTAACAGGTGCTTGATGGTGAGCATAATGTGGACTTTAAGTTGTTACCATATGAAGAAAAAATGTTGTTACTGTATAAAACTCATGTAATATTTTGCAGAATATTGTCTGCAAAGACCAATAGAATATTGTCTCTTGACCACGTCAGTGATTTAAACATGCCCTTCTGTCTTCTCTAAAAAAAAATGTGGAAAGGAAAAAGGGGAAAAGGTAAAATATATATTTGTATACACAAGTTAGTTGACAGTTATACAGCTATTTTCTCTTAGTTCATTCAAAAGAAAGTTTTGTGTTTATATCATTTGCATGATATCTTATATCGAGTTATTGTGCTTATGTCTTGTGCCTATGAATAACTACTAGGAAGAAAACAATATGCAATATATCAACTATTGTAACTGTCCGACCAACCTATTTTGAAATTCATATTTACTGTCATGTTTATCTTTTATTGCTTTAATTTAAAAAATAACATATTTATGACACTGTACATTAAATCCTTATTTTTATATTTTCCATATACTATATATTA